CGCGCGCCTGCGCCTTGGGCGCGGAGCCTACCACCTGCTCCCGAGAGGGGGGTCGCGCGGGGAGCCGGCGGGACGGTCTTCGGGCGTGAGTGTGAGCTCGCGTGCAAGATCCAGCCTTGGAAGCCTGGCCTGGAATGGCTTGTTCCACTTTCCGGGACGCAGGTAGTTCCTTAGAAAAGGCGCGGAGGGCTCCTTGCGTGCTGAGTCAGAGCCCCGCAATGAGCCGGAACGTCCCTCAGTTTCCTAGCCTGTCAAATGGATTAATCAGGCACGTCGCTCCTCTGAGCTGGTTAAAGAACACGCCAGAAGGGCCAGGGATTTAGCTCAGAGGTTCTGCCGCCTACCTTGTAAGCGCAAGAAGCCGAGTTCGATCCCTGGTACCAAAAAAACAAAACAAAAAAGAATATGCCAGAGGATTGCTTCAAGTTCGAGGCCAGCCTGGGCTGCGTAGCGAGATCAAAGCCAACCTGAACTACATAGCAAGACCCTGTCTCAAACAAACAAAAAAAGTCAAAAAAAAAAAAAAAGAAAGAAAAGAAAGTGGGAATCACATGCGCGCACGTACACACACACACACACATTCACGACTGGAATAAGGAACCTGTAAAAACCTCAAAAGTGAGATTTTTCTTAAAATTTCAAGTTTAAATGAAAGCTGTGAAAGAAGAAAGAGAAAAACGCGTGTAATGTTTTCTCGTATCACTTTATCACCTGTTCAGTACATGATAAAGTTTATAGGGTGTTTTGATATTTTAAGTGCATTATCTTGATGTTTATGAGAACTTAAAGGCAAGATAGCTATGGCTTCCATTATATAAAGACATGAAAACTTGCAGAGAATATAGACTCAGAGTCTTGGTTGCTCAAACCAACGGTGCAGTCGCCAAGCTTACATTGTGAAGCCGGGTCTGCAAAGAGGGCCATGGTGTCAACATTGAGGCTTTGAAGTTCCGAAGATCTTTATTCAACTTCTCAGCTCTACTAACTGGAACTCAGTAGCAGTCATAGAAAATATGGGCTGTCTGTGTTCCTAAGCACATTTATTTCTGAACGTTGAAATTCTAATTTAATATGCCTTTCACATGTTATGAAATATTTCTGTCCTTTCGATATTTTTTTCAGCCATCTCAACCATTGTTAATTCAGACGTAAGTTTTCCAACCTCGTTGTGAAGTTCAGTCACACATAGTTTAAAGAGGGATATGGGGCCAAGGATAGCTCAGTGGTTCTGCCACCTGCCTTGCAAGCACAAGGACCCAAGTTTGAGCCCTAGTACAAAAAAAAAAAAAAAGAGGGATATGGCCAGGCATGGTGGAACACCCTTGTAATCTTAGCACTCTGGGAGGCTGAGGCAGGAGGATGACTAGTTTAAGCCCAGCCTGGACAGCATGGTGACTTAACAAAACTCTGTTTCAAAATAAAAAGTGGGTAGGGATGTAGCTCACTGTAAAGGCCCTGAGTTCGATCTCCATTGTGGAAAAAAAGAATACGGAGCTATGTTCTGAAAAGTGCATCCTAAGGCAGTTTTGTCGCATGACCGTCATGAGTGAGGTGAGAGGTCTCTAGGCAACAGTCTATAGGTCTGCTGTCCCATATACAAACACTGAGGCTTCCACGTTGCCGTGAGCTGCATCTCTGTACTGCAGCTGCACAGGAGGAAGCTCTGAAAGACCCTGGCTCTAAAAGAGCGAGGACTCCAGTGGAAGACAGGCGAGTAGTCGGCCGGCTGGGAAAAGAAGATGAGAGTGTAGTTGCACAGTCGGGTCGGGTGTGGGGCTCGCACTGGACCTACTGAACAGAAATTAAGTCCGGGAGGGAGGAGGCGGTTTTTGAATTGGGTCTTGGGAAAGGTGTAGGATTTCCATGGGTGGGGAAGGAGTGTGAGAATCAATTGAGCAAAAAGGCACAATGAGGAGACGTGGGTGGGCGCCAGGGCTGGCGATGACTACAGGGCTGCAATAGAAGATGAGGCTGGCAAGGGAGCTTTGTCCAATTTGAAATTTAGATAATAAATATCTGCTGCATGAACCTGAATGATAGCATTTCTGGGCACATTGCAAAACAGACAGCGCTTGTTGGCCAAGAAAGACTGCAACGCAGCCACTCCTTACCACTTCAGAACCAGAGGGCGGGGGCAGAATGTGAAGCCGGTGAAGCTTGTGCTAGCTCAGGAACACTGAGGCGGCTTGGAAAATTCCCAGAGTTGGGAAAGACCGCCCACCGGAAAGCAAACACTATGAGGGTAGCAACCTCATCTCACTTTAGCTGGCTCTACCCTTACTGCCTGCCCAGCGGCCTGGCACTTAGTGGGTGCTCAAATGTTCGTCCAAGAAAATAATAAATGATCTGCAGTTTATGAGAAACATCAAGATGATAGAGGAAACACTGAGAGGGAGAACTGAACCCAAATGGTTACTGCAGATCCATCAGAAAGGAAATAAGAGCTGGGTGTGGTGGTGCACATCTGTAATCCCAGCCCTTGGAAGGCTGAGGCGGGAGGATCTCAAGTAAGTTGGAGCCCAGCGGGAGGAATTTAGCAATTTAGTGAGGCTCTGTCTCAAAAGGTAAAAAAGGGCTGGGGATGTAACGGTGCACAAGGCCCTGTGTTCAATCCCCAATAGAAAGAAAGAAAGAAAGAATCCTATTAACTATATTGGTTCTCTCCCTAAGAGCTTAGTGATTAATCTGTTTAATAGCTCATCTGAGAAATTTTTGCAATTCAGTATTAAATTCAGTAGACAAATTTCCCAGAATTGAGCACTTCTTCTTTTTCAAAATTTGGTTTTCTCCATTTTCTCATCATGCTGCAGTTCTGTGTGCAACTTTTTCTAAGATCTCGATAAAGGTTCACATAAGTTTGTCCCCTCCTTTATTTCATTATTGTTTTCATTATTCTCTTTATTTCATTCTAGCCATCCCTATTTTTTTTTTATCCTTGCTTTAAAGGTAACTTTACCCCTCCCCTCACAGCTCACAAAGATTTTTTTGTTTTGGTTTGGTTTTTTTTTTTTTTTTTTGAGACAGGGTCTCACTATGTAGTTGAGACTGACCTGGAACTCATTATGTAGCCCAGGCTGGTCTCGAATTCACAGCGATCCTCCCGCCTCAGCCTCCCGAGTGCTGGGGTTACAGGTGTGCGCCACCACGCCTGGCTATAGCTCACAAAGTTTGCCTGTCCTGAACAACACCTTTCTAAAAATTATCCTTAAAAGTAGTAGCTATTCTTTAGTGTTTGTGCTGTGTTACTTGTACATGGTCACGCACGCCCTGTCCTGGCACCGTTTTTCTGCAAGGCCCCTTGAAAAAAGAATTGTCCAGAGGAGCATTAAGCATCATGTTTTGGATTGCTTGTGGGGAGTATCAAAATTTAATTTCTCAAAAGATCTCATTCCTCTTGAGCCACTTCTTACTTTTTAAGACGTATTTCTCTGACATTTCTCTGACATCCTCACAGCCCGATCCCATGTAGCTGATGACCCGTGGATATCCTCCTCACACCCAGCGTTCCGTGCCTTGATGATGGCAAACCATGACGCTATTCTGAATTAAATCTGAAGTGACACGTCCCCTGATAACAGCTCCCCCTAAATCCCGAGGTGGAATGAACAACAGGAGAAAATGAGAACGGATCCTATGCTTTATTTTGAATGACAGGAGATTCCCAATAGCTCTCTGTAGAGTTGGAGAACTCCCGGCAGAACTTCGTCTTGCCATAGTGAGAGTTTTGGGAAGTGTGTCAGGAAAATCTAATTCTGTTCGAAGCCTAAGTCATCGGGAAACACTGAGCACATCCAAAAGGATAATTGAGGCTAATTCAGTGGAGGGACAGATACGTAGTAGGATAAGGGACATCAAGTGGGGACGCGGAGGCTTCCAGGGACCAAGGCCTCTGGGAATTTTCCCCTCGAGATCTGAAGTGACGGGGGAAGGAGAGGAGACGGTGCCAGAATCCACGGAGAGCTTGCGTTAATTTGCTAGGGCTGTCGTAAGAAAGTACCGGGGACTGAGGGGCTGAAACAGTAGAGATTTTCAGTCTCACAGTTCTGGATGCTAGGAGTCTGATGACAGGGTGTCGAAGGAGTCGGCTCCTTCTGGGGGTTGTAAAGGAGACTGCCTCAGCCTCTTTGCTTGTGCTGCAGATGGCCGTCTTTCCCTTGTGTCACCAAGTGCTGCCTTCCCTGTGTGTCTCTCACGGTGTCTTCTGTTCTTAGGAGGACACGGGTCCTACTGGATTAGGGTTCATCCTAGTCACCTCACTGAGCACTGATACTTCCGCAAAGGCCTTTCTCTAATTGAGGACACATTCAGAGGCCCTGGGGATTAGGACTCCAAAATGCACCTTTTAGAGGGAGGAACCAAGCTATAGCAGTAAGAAGAAGCCACCAGGCTGTGGCCTTTGATAATAAGCCCAGCGGAGAGAGAGCAAGGAGGTGAATACCCAACCTCTCTCCTCTCATTGTCTTGGGCTAGTGGCTCACACTGACTCTGTTTCCCTGGAAGTTAGGAGGCAAAGGACCCTGGGGTCTGTAGTCCTAAAGCCAGCCTCCCAGGGTGTGGTAGAGCAGAGGAGGCTGGGGCGTGCATCTGAAGGGCCCAACAGAGATCCAGCACAGCCTGTCGGGGCAGTGGGTACGCCCAGAGCAGCTGGCACTTTCCCAAACTGGTAAGTCCACCCTTGGGTCCCCGGATCCCTGGAGAGCATTGAGAATTAAAGCTACTTGGAAACAACCCTCCCGCTTCCAGTCTCCTTCTATAAAAGCTTAAGCTTTGCAAGACAATTGTGCTTGGGTGACAGCTTGGGTGGAGGTGGTGGAGGACAAAAGAATAAAGTCCTTGGCTTGGTGGGATGGGGAAAGGCAGCAGCTGGGAGGCAGGGAGAAGGAGGAGGAGGCTGGAGAGACTGGTGATTCCTGAGGCCTCGGGGGGCCCTCATGCTGCTCCCGGAAGTGCTGTGGAGAAGTAGCAAGATGATCTGAGGTGATGTGGGCTGATCCCGTGCAGCTCCGGGCTCCTTTTGGTTGGCAGTGACAGCCGGCAGAGAAGCCTGACACAGTGTGGCTTGGCTTCTCCCCCAGCATCAGTCCCAGGATTTAAGAGAACAAACCCCACACTAAAATCTGCCTTGTGCACCTCTGGTAAGAACAGTCAGTAGCAGGCAGGCACAGCCCAGGCCCTGGGATCTCGTCTGCAGTTCTTAGAGCTCCCAGCTCTGGGTCTTTTGGGGCTGTGGCCGCATCAAGCTTTACTCAAGTCGCAGAGTCAGAGCTCCGGCATTCACTGCGGCAGGCAACCAGAGTCAGAGTCGGCCTTAAAGTTTGCTATCTTACACCCAACTCATGGCACCGGTGTTACCAGGAAAGGATTTTCGCCAGTGAAAAGAGTTGCTTGGTAATTTGCATGATGGATGTTAGAAAGAGCAGCTGCTGGTGAAATTTCTGGTGTTGGATTCTTCTGAACTACTCTGTGGGAGCCACTCTCAGATTAAATAGTTTACTAGTCACGCCCGCCATGGAAATTGCTGCCTATACCACAGACTGTACCTGGGTGTAACCTTAGGTCACTGGCACCCACAGAGGTTATTCTGTTTGATAATGTTCCCAAGTATTTGTTCTAAGGAGACTTACGTCTTTACAATACCAGTTTATAAAAGAAAAAGGATAGGAGCAATTGGGGACTCCAGCTCTAGGAGGATGCTCAAGAAATTTTACAGCATTTTCCTTCCATAGGAGTGGCCAAAACAGGGGCACAGTGGATCCTGTCTAAGCTTCTGGAAGTACCAGAATAGCTTCCTTAAACATCCTCACCTAGAATATGCTTTACTGCTTTGATTCCAACAGCAAATATCAAGGTATTTAAAGAGAAACTAAACATGATGAGATGCAGTGTTCCTAGGAAGCCGGGCTCAGATGCTTCTTATGCCTGGAATACTGGAATATCCAAGAGGCCATGTAGACTTGGATAATATAATAAAATAATAATAATAATAATAATAAACTGATGACCTGGCCATGGCGGCACATGCCTGTAATCCCAACACACAAGAGGCTGAGGCAGGAGGATTGCTGAAAGTTTGAGGCTAGCTTGGGTTGCATAGTGAGTTTAAGGACAGCCTGAGCTACACAGTGAGACCTTGTCTCAAAACAAACAAACAAAAAAAAACTGATGAGAAAAAGTCTTTTCCAAGCATTGCACACATCTCCCAGACTCTTACGTGACCTTGGGGAGAGGGATTCTGTAATGACAAGGGTTTAATTTCTGCAACTTAGTAGGGTCAGGGTCAAGGTGAAGGTCAGGGAACATATAAAAGTGGACAACCTGGCTTACACCGCAGGTTCTGATTTCTACCTCCTGTACAAGGCTGAATTCGGTTTTTTCTCTCTCAAATGCGTTCCTGCATGCTTACCTTTATAACAAGCATTTATAGTGTAAGGCTTTGGGCTGAGGGCTCTGAGATGCAGAGAAGAAAAAAAAACATTGGCTTCGCCCTCAGAACCTAATAGCTGGCTCTTATACAACAATTGCTGTTTACGAGACACTGTTTTCAGTCATCCCCAAACAGCCTGTGAGATAAGTGCTGTTATTATCATCTCTGTTTGACAAGATGACAACAACGAGGTAACCAATGTCACATGAGCCAGGAAGATGCAGGGTTTTGAAGCCGAGCCGTTGGGTTCTGGAATTGTTTTTTGTTTTTTTTTATACTACTGGATTTCAAACACAGGGCCTTTGCACTGAACTGCATCTTTGGCCTTTTTATTTTTTATTTTGAGGCAGGGTATCATTAAAACACTAAGATACCCAGGCTGAGCTCAGACTTACTTGTTTGTTTTTCTGTTTTTTTGTTTTGTTTTGTTTCTTTGAGACAGGGTCTCACTGTGTAGCTGAGACTGACCTGGAACTCACTATGTAGCCCAGGCTGGTCTTGAACTCAAGAGATCCTCCTGCCTCAGCCTCATGAGTGCTGGGATTACAGGTGTGCATCACCACTCCTGGCTTCGGATTTACTTGTGATCCTCTTGCCTCAGCCTCCCAGAGTGCTTGGCTTGGAATTGTCACTCAACTCTACACCATATTACTGTACCTATCCAGTATAGTGGAGGACGGATATAGAAACACGTAATTAAATACACAACATAGTGTACAATGCATGGGGTACTATGAGAGCATAACAAGAGGGAAGCGGTATTTCTACGACACCTGGGAAAGTTTGGAAACCATGAATGGGCATCAGCTACACACTGAAGAGAGGAAAGAAAACCAAGCCCTGGTTTGAGGGGGAACCCAAACACTAGTAACACTGGAACATAAGATTCAAGGGGGCTGGCCTCAATGGTGCACACCTGTAGTCCCAACTACTCAGGAGGCTGAGGCAGGAGGATTACAAGTTGGAGCCCAGCCTGGGCAACTTATCCACTTAGTGAGACCTTGTCTCACAACTTTAAAAAAAGTCTTTTTTTATAGGGGTGGGGATGTAGCTCAGTGCAAAGGCCTTAGGTTCAATTCTATGCTATAATAAGTAAATAGGGCTAGGGGTATAGCTCACTGCTCCCTGGGTCCAACTCCAGTGTGGGGGTGGGTATAAGAGGGGGTGGGGCAGGTAGTTTGCTCTGCAGATGTCTCTGTGCAGGCTCTGTGTTTGGTGCTGACGATATAGCAGGGACACAGCACATAAGGAATTTGAAACTTTCCGACATTTTTCTCCCTTACCTACTAAAACAATGATTTTTGCCGGGTGTGGTGGCTCACGCCTATAATCCCAGCACTTGGGAGGCTGAGGCAGGAGGATTGCTGTGAGTTCGAGACCAGCCTGGGCTTCATAGTGACTTCCAGGTCAGTCTCAACTCTACATAGTGAGACGCTGTCTCAAAAAAACAACAAAAAGAAACGCAATGATTTTTTACAAAATGTACCCCATTTACATTTGTTTGAACCCCAGTTCAAACACTGAACAAATTAGGAATAGTAAGGAGTTCCCTCAACCTGATACCCACAGTCAACGTCATACTTTATGATGGACAACTGGATGCTTTCCTCCTAAGACCAGGGACAAAATTAGGATGTCCACTCTTGGCACACTTGTTTCCCCCAAAATAAGACCAAACTGGGCATAAGCCCTAGCACAATTTTTTTTCTTGAGACAGGATCTCACTATGTAGTTGCGACTCACCTGAAACTCACTATGTAGCCCAGGCTGGTCTCGAACTCACAGTGATCCTCCTGTCTCAGCCTCCTGAGTGCTGGGATTACAGGCGTGAGCCACCACACCTGGCTTGATTTTTTTTTTTTTTTTTAACTAGGGATCCGACTCTGGTCCTTGCGCTTGCGAGGCAGGCTCCGGAACCAATGAGCTAAATCCCCAGCCCTTGATTTTAATTTTTAATAAAATGAAATTTTATTGCAAATGCATTTCAGTGCAGTGGTGATTTTTCCTGGAGTCTTACATCATACTTTTTTTTTTCCTAAGAAACTTCTTCACATAAAATGAGTAGACAGGAATGGAAAAGGTTTTGCTACAGCAATACTGTTCAGATCTTTTGAAACTCCTTCTTCATGTGCCAAAAATCACGTAATAATTGCTAGGACTTAATAACCTATCACTGACAACTCCAGGAGGTCCTGATTCAATTTTGTTGAAAAAGAAACAATTGGACATCACCTGATTTGAGAAACATGTGTTACCCAATCATTAAATTTACTTTCTCAGTCAAGATACCTGTTTTTCACAATGCCCCTTTGTTTGGCCCCTGGGAGGTTTCCACCACAGGCCTTTGTTGCTGTTGGTTTGCTTGTTCTGGCTGCGCCTCCACCCCCACTCCTTGGATGGCAGGCAGCTCCATCGAAGCTGGGATGTTTGCTCTATGCCTGGGGGCCTTGAAAGCTATCGGATGGATAGGAGGTACTCAGTGAATGTCCCTGATGTTAGGAAAGAATGAGATGTTAGGAGCATCTGGTGTGCACTGGACAGGAGGCAGCCAGTGCACTGATTCGGGTTTCTCAGTCCAAAGGCAAGAAAAGATCACCTTCCCACAAAGCTAAGAAGCAGCACATGGATTAGACAAAAAAAGTCCAAGCTGGAATCCAACCTGGGCCTGAAATTTGCTTTGGTTTTTGTTGTTGTTGTTGTTGTTTTTTTTTTTTTTTTTTTTTTTTTGAGACAAGGTCTAGCTATGTAGTTCAGCCTGGCCTTGAACTCACTGTGTAGCCCAGGCTGGCCTAGAACTCACAGTGATCCTCCTGCCTCAGCCTCCCCAGTGCTGGGATTACAGGCCTGCGCCACTAACTTGTTCATCTTTCTTATTCATCAGAGCTCCCTGCTGCAACCCCTCCCACTTGCCATTTCCTTAGGGATACAGGATAAAGGGAAGAGAGAAGGCTAAGGAAGGATCCAAATGTAAGTAGTTACGTGTTTTATTTGAGCCTCTTCTCTTTCTCACAAAACAAGCACTGCCAGCTCGTGCCCAGTGTAGGTCTTAGGAGTGAGCAACCCTTCTCGGGTGGGGGGATCTGCCAGGTTCTCTGACCCCTGATTTCTAGTTCACCTCCCAGACCTCCTCCTTGCTGCCCTCAGGTGAGTCTGAATCCAGATACTTCTGTCTCTTCTCTGCTGATCGCATCCGAGGTGAAAGCTGGGGCTGGGAGCCTTGAGCTGGAGCGTGGTACATGGGCCGGAAGTGCTGTGGAGGGTACACGTGGGCCCTCGACCTGGGGTCCGGCTGCCTTTCCCACTCCAGATCCATGTGAGGCTCCAGCTCGGGCTCCAGCCCCAACTCGTTGTCCAGGACCTGGTCCAGGTCTAGACTGAGATCCAGCCCGCTTGGCTCTGCAGACTCCCCAGTGTCGTCCAGACCCAAGTCAAACGCCAGAGACTCCTCTTTGGGCTTCTGGACCTTGGGGAAGCGTTGACTTGTATTTCTGGAGCTTTCTAGAAAACCACAACTCTTTTCGTATCTTGATTTGTCATTCTGAAATACACACAATTAGATGGGTTAAACTTTACAATTCATTTAGCTTTTTTTTTTTTTTTTTTGGTACAGGGGATCGAAGTCAGGACCTTGCGCTTGTGAGGCAGGCAGAGGCGCCACTGAGCTACATCCCTGGCCCTCATTTAATTTTTGAGCAGTCAAGGAATTTCAGAATACCATGGGACTTCAGGAACCGGAACCAGGGATTCCTGGAAAAGCAGGGAACAGTTCTTGCCTGAACCTGCTTTTCATCTCTGCACATCCGGTTTCTCCCTCCTTCTTCTTCAAATTCAGTCACCCTTGAACTTCAGACCTCGCTGGCTGGACTGGACGTCATGATCACCATTTAAATGGCAAGGGTCTTGATCTTACCCGTTTGCCAGTGCTCAGTGCAAAGCCTCACGGCTCTCTGTGACCTGGCCTCTTGCCCTCGTCCCCAGCTTCCCAGCCCCAGCTGCCAGCGGTGCCCCACGTCCGCTCATCTGCGCCCCTCTTTCACCGCCTCATCCTCCGTCTCACCCGCACACGCCCTCCGCACCTCACTCTCTTCTGCTCTTCCTTCCTCTTTCCTCACTGGCCTCTCTGCCTGCTCCTCTCCTGCTGGGCTTCTAAATCTTGGCGCGCCCCAGGTCCTGCTGCTGGGACCTTCCTCCTCTGTCTGCTCTCCCTCTGGTCGTCTTATCAGGCCCGTCCCGTCCAGGACCGTCCCCAGCGCACACCAGTGACCGGAGATAACTCCCCCGCCACCTTCCGTCCCCTACCTCTCCACTTGCAAGTTTAATGGGCATCTTGCATTCAGTACAGAACATCAGATTTACATAGGAAGCAAAACTTACTTCTGTCCCGGTCTTCTGTCTCTTAAATGCCTGGAAAAAATTAAATATTCAGTACCAATTCTTAATGTAAGTCCTGAAAAGAATGCTAGCAAGCTAGGAAAAAAAAAAAATCAAACCCTTTTCTTGTTTTTGTTGTTGCTGTACTGGGGATCAAACCCAAGGTGCTCTACCACTGACTCACATCCTCAGCCCTATGTTTTGTTTTGTTATGTAGTTGAGACTGCCCTGGAATTCACTGTGTAGACAGCTGGTCTCGAACTCACAGCGATCCTCCTGCCTTAGCCTCCGAGTGCTGGGATTACAGGCGTGCGCCACCACTCCTGGCTTCTATTTTTTATTTTGAGACAGGGCCATGCTAAATTCCCTGGGCAGGACTTGAACTTGTGATCCTCCTGCCTCAGTGCTGGCATTACAGGTGTGTTGTATTGTACTTGACTTAGAGAAATACTTTAAAAGAAATATAGTCAGCAGTGTCCATTTTGGGCCAGCTGTTAGCACTGACCCTAATGCAGACACGAGAAGCTTATTTCCCCAAATCCGGAGGTCAGATGATGCTCATCAAATTAAACTGTTCTGGGACTTCTGACTTAAGTAGCAATATGTAATATTGAAATAAGAATTCTAACATAGAAAGTAAGAAATTAGCATTATTTTTAGTGAATATTTCTCTCGAAAACGCAAGAGAATCTACAAGGAAGCCCATGAGGATAAGTAAAACTACTCACAAAAGTGGCCAGGTAATTTTGTAAAAATCAATGAGTTTCTTATATCTTAGCTATTACCAGTTGGAACAGCAAATGATAAAGAAAATTTATTGTGTTGATATTGTATTTAGTTTCAGATGGGGTCTGTCTATGTTGCCTGGGCTCAAGGGATCCTCCAGTTTTAGCCTCCTGAGTATGTAGCTGGGACTACAAGAGAGCACTAACACACTTAGCCTTAGAGAATTTATTTTAAAAAGCAATAAAAGGGCTGGGTGTGGTGGCGCACACCTGTAATCCCAGCACTCAGGAGGCTGAGGCAGGAGGATCACTGTGAGTTCAAGGCTAACCTGGGCTATATAGTGAGCTCAGGATCAGCCTGAACTACACAGTGAGACCCTGTCTAAAAAAAACCCAAAGAAACAAAAACAAAATAATCAAAGGCTACTTGGAAGCCTGAGGCAAGAGAATTACAAGCTAGGGGCCAGCCTAGGAAACTTAGTGAGACTCTGTCTCAAAATAAAAAGACCTGAAGATGTAGCGCAGTGCTCCCTGGGTTCAGTCCCCATTACTGAAAAATAAAAAAGATTTTTAAAAAAAGGATGGAGAGGGCCGGGGATTTAGCTCAGCGTTTCGGTGGCCTGCCTTGCAAGCACAAGGACCCGAGTTCAATCCCCGGTACCAAAAAAAAAAAAAAAAGATGGAGAGCTAGGGATTTAGTTCAGTGGTTCCACCGCCTGCCCCACAAGGACTGGAGTTCAATCCCTGGTACAAAAAAAAAAAAAAAAAAAAAAAAGTCTGGAGGGAGCATTCACCTGCTGCCATGTGAGACACTACTGGAATAAACTCTCACCAAACACCAAACCTGCCAGTATCTCGGGCTTAGACTTCCCATGCTCCCGAGCTGTGAAGAATACATTTCTATTAATTATATATTATTACCCAGCCTCTGTGTGCGTGTGTGTGTGTGTGTGTGTGTGTGTGTGTGTGTGTGTGTTTAAATAGCAATGCTTATGGGCAATGACTCAGATGGATGGTATAGCTAAAAAATAAAAATTAAAAAAATCATCCTCACTGTAACATACCAAAGAGTATACAATAAAAAAATGAAACCATAAAAACTAGAGAAAATGACTTATTACCCATTTATTTTCCAAGTGGAAATGACTTTCTTTTTTGTTGTTTTTTTGAGACAGGGTCTCACTATGTAGTTGAGACTGACCTGGAACTCACTATCTAGCTCAGGCTGGTCTCGAACTCACAGTGATCCTCTTGCCTCAGCCTCCCAAGAGCTGGGATTATAGGCGTGCACCACCACACCCGGCTGGAAATGACTTTCTAACCAAAAAAAAGAAAGAAGATTAATGATGTGACCACATGATACGTAAAAACAAACATGTCAAGAGGATCTGAATCACAAATACAAAAAAAAAAAAAAAAAAAAAAAAAAAGAGATTGTAAAAAAAAAAAAAAAAAAAAAAAAAAAAAAAAAAAAACCAACAGAGAAACTCCCATTTACAGTAAAAGCAGACTACATAATTCAGACCAGCCCTCCCATTGAGGATAATTAGAAGAGCTGGACAAAATATTTTTTTCAAAATCTCTCTTAAAGTTTCCGTAGCACTGACATCATGGTTCAGATCTGGAACACTTCCCCAAGGTGGAAGGCAGGGTGCGCAATGCAGCCAGGGGCTTTGAGAGTCCGATCACTCTGAGGAACTGACTGCATCATGAAAGCTCTGATATCATCAATGGACTGGTCCCTTGATACATTCAGACAGAATGGACTATTTGGGAACTGGGCCTGACTGGAGGAAGTCGGTCACTGGTCCTCTGCCCCTTCCGCCATCTCTCTCTCGACTTCCGGTGGCCATGAGGTGAGCGACTTCGCTTCACTGTGTGCTCTCTGCCGTGATCTGTGGCTCTGTCATAGGTCCAAAGTGGCCATGGACTGAAATCTCTGAGACCATAAGCCAAAAGAAACCTCTAACTACTGTAGGATTATTTACGATTTTCTCAGGTGTTTCCTCCCAGCGATGGAGCGCTGACTAACGCAGCCAACGGGATCACGAAGAGTGCCAAGGCCAAGAGAACAGGTGAAGATTAAAGGGCTGAATCTGGCAGTGCGGCCACATTCGTCCTGAAGCTGTTCGATGCCTAGAAGTGTTTCATTCATGCTGAGAGATGCTTCTGATAACTTTAAGGGCTGAGGGTTGCAAAAAAACTGGATTCCAGGGCCTAGGGGGCCAGGGCTGTCATAAACCTCTGCACAAACTATAACTGGGCCTCTGGTCACTTGGGTGGCTAGGAAACCTCAAGTCCTGAAGTCAGATGAAAGTGGCCTTGGATTGCCAGTACCTCCAGCTATCTGGCAACTCCACCAAAATCTTTCTGGAAGAGAAGACTATCTTAGGCCACAATGGGTAGTAAAGCAGTCTCAGGACCTACCCAAGACCCACTAACACAGAAATCCTGGGGACGGGCACACAGCGGGCCTCTGCCATCTCTCTCTCTCTCTCTCTCTCTCTCTCTCTTTTTTTTGGTACCTGGAATTGAATTTGGGACCTTGCGCTTATGAGGCAGGCAGCAGAACCACTGAGCTAAATCCTCAGCCCAGCCATCTCTGCTTTCAGAGAGCACTGAGGTGACTCTGACGGAGGCCTAAGTTTGAGAACCCACGGAAAAGGACCAGCAGCTGGTTGGAGATATTATCAGAGGAGTTCTCAAGGTTGGAGGGAATGACCTTGATGAGTCAAAGACTTTCTGATTCTGATTTTATAAATGGGGGTGGGCTTTAGTGTAGACCTGATAAGAAATGTTCAGATCTAGCTATCAGGAATAAACCGTTCTGGATAAACAGAGGCATATAACCTGCGAGGAGTCTCAGCACAGCACGGGAATAATATGCTGGCAACACATTACTTAAAAAAGCAAAGAAAAAAGGCTGTGTTCTATAAGGTTGGATATTTCTTCCTTCAGGAATTTTAAGAAACCAGGCATGGTGGCACACATCTGTAAGTCCATCGCTCTAGGAGGCTGACACAGGAGGACCACAAGTACGAGCCCATCCTGGGCAACTTTGCAAATTAGCAAGACCCTGTCTCAAAATTTAAAAACAAAACAAACAAACAAAAAAGAAAGCAGGAAGACTGGGGAATGTAGCTCAGTGCAAAGGCTCTGGGTTCAACGCCCAGTACCCCCTGAAACAACAAACAAACAGCTCCCTCGAAACTATGGTAATATTTTCCTCATCATAAAAATCCAAATGTTACTGAAATCTAATAAAGGATTGGGGATTTGAGTGAAAAATAATTCTAGTCATCAGATAATGTTTGTGCATGCCTATAACCCAACACTTGGGAGGCAGAGGCAGGAGAACAGATTCAAATTCAGATTTGAAGCTGGGCGTGGTGGCACACATGCCTGTGATTCCAGCACTAGGGAGGCTGAGGCAGGAGGATCGCTGTAAGTTCGAGACCAGCGTGGGCTGCACAGTGAGTTCCAGATCAATCTCAACTACATAGTGAGTATCTCAAAAAACAAAAACAAAAAAAATTCAAATTCAAGGCCAGCCTGGGCTTCATGGTGAGTTCAAGTTCAGCCCGATCTACATAGAGAGACCCTGTCTCAAACAAAACAGAACAAAATACCAAAAATATTTGATGGCCATCTATGTTATAATTTCATATTTGGAGAAACACAGGTACTTGTGTTTCTCACCTACACAGGTACTTGAAAACATTAAAGACCCAGATCTTTGCTCGGTATTGAATGACTAACACTTGACCTACATATCTCTCTCCTTTGCACTTGGTCAGGTTCAATAAATGAACGGGGCTGTAAAGCAGCCCATGTATTAGACTGGCAGGTATTTCCCTGCGCTAGTTCTTCATTCAGCTTCTCCGGAGCTGTCCCCTCACCGGGTCACAGCAGGGGAGTCTGAAGGCGGCTGGATGGGGCTGTGTGATGGAGGCTGGGGTTGGGGTGTGATGCTGGGACTGAGAGTTCAATGTTGAGACTACACAGGGCTCCACCGTGGGTGTGGGTGGCCTGGATGGGTTACACAGGCGCAAAGAGGGCAGGCTTCTGTCACTGCCACTCCTTGCTGTGTTCTTGCCTTCTGCCTGCCAAGAACCGTCTGTCCTCTGCCATCCCCTCTGCCATGAAGCCAGCCGACTGCGGACTGAAACTTCTACAAACCTCGGGCTACAGTAAACCTTTCCTCCTTGAGCTTGGGGGCGTCGGGCATTTTGTCTCAGCAATGTGAGAATTAACTAAGACACTCATCCCAAAGAGATATCTAAACTGTTTAGCAGTTAGCCTGGGTGTGGTCGCAGCAGTCGGGAGGCTGAAGCAGGAGGACTGCTGTGAGTATGAGGCCGGCCTGAACTACACAGCCTGTCTCAAAAAAAAACCCAAAAAGTGAGCAGTTAGTGTGGCACCAACCAAGATTGCTGTAAAAGGACGCTTGGGGCTGTCACTGGGTTAGGTAAAGCCTCTCTGCAGCTGGGGAAGTGTCCCCAATGGGACGCAGCGGCCACGGCCATGAGGGTACTTGGGCTCAGTTCACTGCAAGTTACTGAGTTACTGCTTGACAAGAGAGCATTTTCGACACCTCCAACCAAACCTTTCCTGGACCTCGCTCACCTCTATCCGATTGACCGACTCCTCCCTCTCCATCCTCCCAACCACCGAGCCTCCAGCCTTCAGGGCATCCAACCTTGTCCGGCTCGGAGTAGGTTTCCTGGAGCACAGTCTCGCCCTCCTCCACGCTCAGCTCAGAGCCGTCCGCAGCGTTTCGGGACAAGGCGAACAGCACAGCGTCGTGGAGGCTGAGGAACAGGTGGGCCTTGGTGATGCCATCGTCAAAGAAATCATTCTTCTCAAACTCCCTGAGCACGCAAGCTGCAAACCAGCCGGGCACACACAGGGTGAGGCCCCGTCCGGCCCCGGGTGCACGGCACAGCCCTCGCCGGGGGAAGCCTACTCACAGTGACACCCGGTGAACAGCACCAAGATGCTGGCGTTCTGGAAAGCGTTGCACATCTGCAGGGACACAGTGGATCAAGGTCGGGGGGGGGCCCCGCACTCCCTGGGAAGGGGCTGAACCCCCTTCGGTGGGCTGCGAGGGTAGCTCGGCGGTGGAGGTTTGTTTGGCGCTCGTGGGGCCCGGGTTTCCCCAGAACCACACAGGAAAGAGTCCCGATGCGAGCAGAACCTCCCGGCCGTGCCCTTTCCGGAGAGTAGGAGCTCTTGGCCGCCCAGTTTTGCTCCCCAAACATCTGGTGAGTGGGCTTGGGCGGCTAGAAAATGTCCGAAGTGCCGGGTGTGTGAGAAAAGAATGAGACCATCCCTCGTGGGGCCGGCAGGGAATGGTTCCGGAGAGAGGACACTGGCTCGAGAGGAGCCGGCGACGCGGCGGCAGAGGGGCAGTGGGGCGCACCCTGGGAGCTGGCGGCGCAGTCACACCTCGTGCTGTCGTTCATCACGCCCGCGCCATGCTTCGCTCCCCACGATGCGGGCGAGACGCAGAGGACCTGGTCACGCGGAAGCCAGGGGGACTGGGCAACCGCGAGAGTCCCCTCCAGGGCTGCTCTGCGCAACCGCACGTCAGACGGTCAGCACCAGATAAGTAACCTCGGCCAGTCTGTACCCTCTGGGGAATAAATCCTGACATCCACGTAGAAGCAAATTAACCATAGGATGGAGGGCCGGGGATTTAGTTCAGTGGTTCCACTGCCTGTCTTGCGAGCACAAGGTCCCGAGTTCAATCCCCAGTACTATTACTACTACTAATAATAATACTAATAATAAGATGGAGTGGACTTCAACCCCAAGAAAATCTCAAGTAGAAAGCATTGCACAAGACTGAGTGGAGACAGCACAGCTCGGTGGAATGACCCAAGGTGGAAAAACTCCTATAATAAGAGACGATCCAATATGGTTAGGTCTGGAAGTGGCACATGTGGGTGGCTGGGAGTCTGGTGGACGGAAAGGTTCTTGCTGCTAAACTCTTCCAAAGCTCTCCTCCTACAGATGAGGAGACAGAGACCCTGTACCACTTGGTGGTCACCTCGGGAGAGATGGACAGGGTGCCGGGAAGCCAGGGCAGAGCACAGATCTCCTGGCCAGCAGCCAGCACTCCTCCTGCTGTGGAGAGCTGCCAACCGCCCCGGACCAAAGAGGAGCCTGACTCGCTTAAATCAGTCTCTTAGGAATAGGAAGGCATGAGAAAGTAGGATCCAAAGGTAAAAGAAGGCAAACCAAACAAAGGAGTGTGTGTGAGCTCAGAGCTGGGAAGTGAATGGGCAAAAGTCAGAAAGAGCGCTTTACACAGACAGATAAGCTGGCTGGGCAAAAAAGTGCACGAGACCACCTTGGTTAATTGTGCACCTACAATGTCCTGAGCAGGAAGTGAGAACTGTCAAAGGATCTGAGAGTAGAAATCAGGACGTGGGGGCAGAAGTTTTGAAAGTCATCTTCCCTGTCCTTTTTCACCTAATGATGCAGGCAGGGAAGGGGAAAGTGTGCCAGCCCCGCAGGTTCTGGATGGGCAGCGCCAGTGCGAGGTGTCATTTTGTCCTGACTTCTTCAAATCTGAGAACAGTCCAGCCTGGCGCCTTCTACAGTGCCTGGCTTAGAGGCCGAACTGCGGAGGACTCTCGGTGAGCTCGTCCCCACAGCGTCCGAGCTCACTCCCTGCAAGGGTGTGCAGCGAGTGCAGAAGGGTGCACGAGGGATGGCGGAGGAGGAAGCACCGGTGGCTGCCTCAGCAGCGTTTCCTGCTGTCCTCACTCCCGTGAGAAATAATGAAACGGCTCGTGCGTGTTCAGCCAAGTGCAGCTCAATGCGTCAGAGTCGGTTCGTTTTCATTTGAGGCTGATGGACCTTACACGGCCTCCAGTGCCCAAGTTTCTGGAAACCTTGCAGTCACACAGCGGCTAACGCCAGGCGGGGTTACTTCGGGCGGTGTGTGGGTGCTGGATGGTGGGAGGGGACCAGAGGACGTGGCACAGCCTCCCCAGTACCTACCTGTCTCAATATGACCAAGGCCTGAGAATCCACGTAGTGCACCAGGGAGAAGTCCAGGATGATGGTGTGGGTGGCGGGCTGCACAGTCACGTCGGAGCAGGGGGCGTTCAGTCTCCTCTCGGCCGGAGCGGCCCCAGGGTCCTGCGGCGAGGGCACGCTCTTCTGCAGGGTGTTGCTGGAGGGCCAGCCTTTCCCCACGTCCTCGCAGATCTCCCCGTGGTATCTCTGGGACGGCGTCTCCTCGTCGGATGTTTTTTGGCTTAGGGTCGTGGGCTCCAGAGGCGTGCAGTGGATCAGGTTACCGGAGGACGAACTGAAATCCTCCTGGTATTCGTACCGCTCCGTGTAGGCGATCTGGGGACAACAGAGGCAGGGAGGGCGGCGGTGAGACTCAAGCTCGAGCCGGAAGCGCCTCTGGATTCACTTCCCTCTCCTGAAATTTCTCCCAGGCCAGGTTCTACTGCACGTTTCTCCTCCACTCGGACACTTCACTGTCACTTTGCGGTCACGACTAAGGCCTCATTCATCTTTCCTCACCCCCACTACCCCAGCATCCTCTTCCCAAGTGCCCCTGTCCACCAGTGACGAGTTCCTTCCCTCTGTCCCTGGGTCCTTAGGAGCCTCCCAAGCCAACCACACTTTGTGCGCAGCGCTTCTTTCTGTCAGGCCCCTCCCCTCCTGTCATCCTCTGCCAGCTTCCTGAAGAAGAGGGGCGTTGCTTAAGGAGGCCGGACTTTGTCTCTCTCTCCTTTCGATCCCGAACTAGGCCTCGAGTGCCTGCGAAGGCTGAAGGACAGTGCCAAGGACCAGGAATACAAGGGCGTGAGAGACGCAGCCATGGGCTCACGGAGATCAGGCTCCTCCTGGGAGGAGGACACGTGTCCATGAAAGGCTAGGGAACGAGCCGGGGGTTTAGCTCAGTGGTTCGGCCGCCTGCCTCGCAAGGGCAAGGACCCGAGTTCAATCCCCAGCACCCCCCAAAGGATAGGGAACGACATGTGTGAATGCGAACTCTACATACATGGAAACATGAGAAGAATTCATTTGCTCGAGCATGTTAATTCTAAGTGAGACTCGTATCAGACGCTGCTAGGTTTGTCCATGATCAAGGGTGTACGTTATTCGTGCAACGCACGTGTGCTCTGAGTGGTCATTTAGAAGTAAGTCTTGAGTTCATGTGTTTACACAGGTGTTTACCTTTCGTCCAAAGGTACGTGGCTAGGAGTTTACAAATATTTAATCGTAATTTATATTATTTATTACTGTCAATAATTTTACATATGTCTGGTGGCCAATCTTAAACTGAGGCTTACTTCTGGGGTAACGTGGGAGACTAGACAGGAAGACCGGGGCCTAATTGGCCCCCTCCCTAAGCAGTGAGAAAGGCGGTGTGTGTGTGTGTGTGTGTGTGTGTGTGTGTGTGTGTGTGTGTGT